GTATCTGGTGGAATACCTGTAGTAAAATACCTAGTCTGTATCTGGTGAAATACCTGTAGTAAAATACCTAGTCTGTATCTGGTGTAATACCTGTAGTAAAATACCTAGTCTGTATCTGGTGAAATACCTGTAGTAAAATACCTAGTCTGTATCTGGTGTAATACATGTAGTAAAATACGTTGTCTATCTAAATCTGAATTTATTGAGTGTCACATCCCGGGAAAGTAGAACTGAGGTTGTTCATGCACCCCAGTTTTAGCTGGGAGAGATCTATGATAATTCACCAAAGTTATTCATGCACCCCAGTTTTAGCTGGGAGAGATCTATGATAATTCTTCCTGAAGACAGTGGAACAAATCATATTTTTTAGATAAAAGCAGTCACTGCAAAGCTGCTAGTTTGAAATTTGTAGCAAATCTTGTGATATGCAAGACGTAACTGTTTAAAATCAGTGCCACCAGCAACAGCTGTAAGATGAGGATCTTGATGTGTTTCAAGCTTTTCTGCAACCACAAAAACAAAAGATTTCCTTATTTGGTGCAGGACAATAAAGTTACTTTGTAGAACCATTGGTAGACACAAGGAAGGCTGCACAAAAAGTGGAAAATGTGTGTAAGAATAGTACACATCCCACTATATATATATTAAAACCATATCTTTGTTCCTCATGCATTGTTTTGTCCCTAACAAACTTTGGCTTGAGTGGGGCCTGACTGATGCCAACCAAAAAAAAGCTGACCAACCACTGTTGCTGCTAAATTTCAAACTCTTACCATCTCTTCACTCTCCACTCATGCCAATACAACTGTAGGATTGTTGCTAGAAATGTATGTACATATTAATGGTTTTTCTATATTTTTTTTCTAGAAGCAAGGAGAGATTATAAGTGTTATTGGTTACGTTGAACGAAATGTAATCACACATACACAATTACATGCAGTTTTTCAGGAGCTACTTCAACAAAAGCAATCAGTATTAAGCTTGAAGAAAAAAAACAGTCAATAAAGATATTGTATTCAGAAACATTTTGTAAAGGAAGAATTAATAAACTTTATTTAGGAACAGACATTATTTTTTGTTAAATGAAACAGTGAATTGATGAGTGTTAGGGTGTCTATGGTCCACAAAAGAAAGGTTCTTGTGAAAGTTGTAAAGAAACTATCCATGATTCAACAACGAAGTTGTCAACCTAACCATTGAATCCCTGGTTGATAAGTTTAAGTCAACACTTAAACAGGGGGGGAGTATGTTTAGACCATCAACCCTATTGGATCATTAGGCCACTTTGCAATGCTATCAGTTGGTTATTTGGGCTTTAGGCCTATTGACTGCCAGGGTCTTTAAGGCCATCATTGTGTTGAGAGTCCTCAACATTGCTGAGGATGTGTGAAGCACAGGATTGGCTGTTGTGTGGCTGCACAGCTTAGGGGGAACACTGAACAACGGTTGTGCTACTTGTTTGGTTTTCATACTGCTCAAAAGTGACATCTTGAAATAGTGGTTGGATCTCCATACTGGTTTATCAGATGATCAGACAACTTATGTAACAGTAAGTGGAACAAACCACGTGAAGAATTACAGGCCTCATCATGGAGAGCGACTTAAATGACTTTGAAAAGTGTTTTTGAGAACGTGCAAGAACAGGTTGGCATACTTTCCTTATATCTTTGACACGTCAAGAATACTGATGACTTTGCCCATCACCATTGCTAGTGGACAGGCCTGCCATCAGATCTGTAAAATTGCTCAAAGAGCCTTTAATATCAGCTTGTTGTTTTTATGCATTGTTGCTTTTCATTTAAAATTTAGAATTCAGTTCAGTAGAAGAATCCACGAGTAGCTGCTTTAGACACATCATGTATGGAAGCTCAACTAGTGAGTTTTGAAACTAAGAAAGATTATTCTCAATTGTTTGGTAGAAGGTGGGAAACGACTGTTTGAAATGTAAACTCCCATTTGGATCTATAGGGCCTTATAGATTAGAATATGCTAGAAATATCCTGTATTTCAGTCGAGTTTAGCTTATAAACTGTCAAATTTAGCTTCTATTTTAAAGACTAGCAGCAGTAAACACTTCTGGAAGGTCTATTGGAGAAAAGCTCTGTTGAGCTTAACTTGATACAAGCCTATCTGTGGTGAATCTTGATATAAGGACAAGTGATTGGGATGGAGACAATTTTGACCAAGCATAAAATTGCACAAAATTGGTCTTGAAGCAAGCAAAGTGCAGTTTAACCTCAGTAAAAGCAAGGAGAGTGTAGCAGCTTTAACTGTAAAATTTTGAACAAGTACATTAGACACATGTCAACTGTTGCTGTAACTCGTACTTTGTTAATTAAATATGAATACATAAATTTTACTTAAGTTCTAGTCGTATAGTTTTAAAGCCAGTTTATCGTAAATTCTGTCAACTACAAACTAGCCATAAACTAAATAATAGTTGATAGAATTTACCAGTTTCAAACTGGTCTATGTTGGATAGAATTCATGTAGTAACATACTTTTTAAGTAATCTATCGTTGATGAGGTTTCAGTAATATGTATAAATTATATTAAAAACTGTTACAAAGTAAATAAAATTATTTAATTAGTGTACTTTCCTTTTTTAATTAAAATCTTATTCTATTATCTTTCATACTTTCTTACTTTATTTGTCCTTTTTGTAAATGTTTAGAAATAGTTTCACAATTCCAACTGACTTTTCACAACCACTGCTACTTCTGCCCTCCTAGTTCTATCTGTTTAAAGTGATACCAAAAACATTTATATATATATTTTTTTAAATAATCTTTTATGTTTAATGTCACATCTTCAAAAGGAATAAATATACTTGTGTGTGTCTTTTTTGTGTACCCCATGTTTGTTTGTGATATTTTAAACACTAACATTCCTCATTAGGGCACAAGAGAAGGAAGCTGTCGAGGTGAATGACCTTCACCAGTCAAACGATGAATACCAGTTATACTACTATAGTCCACATACCTTTCTCCAAAGTCCAGAAAAGACACTGGAAATAAAATCAGAATCTGAGCATTTCTCCGTGTCTCTGAAGAAAATTGAAGACTCGCTTGAGGTTTGCTACTTGTAGTATTTCACACACTTTTTTTTGTACAGTTTTGAATATTACTAAGTGCCATTAATTCACAAAAGAACTGGGGAAGAATAAGTTTAAAAAAAACTACTTCAAGGAGTGATAAACAGTGCTTTATATCCAAAAGTTAGAAACATGTTAATCCATGTTTTTCAAATGCTCTCTTTAAGAAGATCCAAAATTGTTTTTAATGTTAAATTATAAATAAGATTTTTGAAATGAATATACTCAACTCTAGTTCATTGACTTTTATGAAAACATTTTATTTTGGAAGAATAAAGAAGAAACCAGTCATTCTGTTCCTTTATCACATACATGGAAAATGTTGGATGTTTCAAACATCTTGCTTCATAAGTTGAGCTGGTTGATTATGAAATTTACTAATCAATTTAGTTAATTGTCAGGCTCGTTACTCAGTTACATTCAATTAATTGACTATTCTCACATTAGACCAATCTTTCTATTTTTAGCTTGTTTTGGTTTTTTTAAAGACATTTTCAAACTACCCATCATTTAACGTGATAGACGTCTTCAAACTACCCTTCATTTAACGTGATAGACGTCTTCAAACTACCCATCATTTAACGTGATAGACATCTTCAAACTACCCT